CGCCGCCGCACCACCACCCCCACCACAACCACCTGCTGATGCAGCCGCTCGACGGCGCGTTCGCGGGCCCCGCGCGGCCGGGGTCGGCGGGGGGGCTGCGGCCAGCGCTGCTGCCGGAACTCGGCGGCGCCGGCGGCGGCGCGTTTGCGAGCCCGCACGGGCACCTCGCGCTGCGCGGGCTGCCAGACACGCTGTTTCCTGGGTTCCGCTCGTGCGCATCTGACGACGGCGCCGGCGCCGGTGGCGGGGGTGTGTATAGCGGGGCCGGGTATGGAGGGTCAGCTGGCGGCGGCGGGGGCGGCGCGCCGCACCTCAACCTGCCCGACGAGCCCTTCGGCCCGCACCAGCCGCCTGCCAGCGGCGGCATGGAGGACGCCGCCGCGGCGGCTGCCATCATGCGGCGCCACAGCAGCGGCGGCGGCGAGTGGGGCACCGGCGCGCCGGTGCAGGCGCCCCAGCTGCCAGCGCCGCCGCCGGCGCTGTTCGGGCCGCCCGGTGGGCTCTGGGGCCTCGGCGCCGGCGCGTCGCCGCACCACCACCGGGGCCTCCAGCTGGCGCCCGGCGGCCTCCACGGCTCGCTCGGCGGCGCCCAGGACGGCGCCGGCGGCGCGGGCGGCGGGCTGGGGCGGCCCGGGGTCGGTGACGTCATCGGGGACGAGGATGCATTGGCGTCGAGCCACAGCATCGTGACGGCGGCGGACGCGGAGCTCAACAAGCTGGCGCAGGACATAATGCGCGGCCTGGTGGAGTGATGACGACGACTCACAGACGCGGCCCTGGGCATTGGGGGCGACCTGGGGGTCTCGGCCGCAGCCATGCGGCTGGGAGGACGCCCGCGCGGAGCTGCGGCGGCGGCGGCGGCGGTGGCGGCCGACCTATGTGGCAGAAGGAGCGCCCCGAAGGCGGGCTCGCCTGCGGGGCGGGTCCATTTTGTGGGCAGCCAGGGCTGGTTGCTGTGTCCCCCCTCTCGTCGTCGCGTCCCCCCGCCGCCCGCGGGCGGTCCAAGGCATGGTCTCAAGACGCGGCGCCGCAGCGCGCTCGGCGCCGCCAGGCGGCACGTGTGGCCCGACGCCGGCCCTCTGCGCCGGGCGGTTCGCAGAGAAGTATATTTTTGACGAGTGCGGGTGCGGCGGCGCCTTGCGACACACGACACAGCAGCAACGCAACACCTACCCAGGCCGGCGGCAGGGCCGAACCGAAGCGGCGCGCTGCCCCCGCCGGCCCCGGTCCCGCGCTGCGCCGCCCTCTTCCTCTCTCTTACTCTGCCCCTTTTTTTCCCCTCTCTCTTTCCCCTGTTTTATCTCTCTCCCTCCCTCTTGCGCCCCTCCCTGGCGATCCTCTGCCGCGTCGCCCGCGGCCGGCGCGACAACCGCGCCGCCCCCGGCGCGAACTGCCAATTGCTTTCTTCCCGGGCGGCGCGGGACCCGGCCGCCCGCGCCCCCGGCCGTCAAACCTCGGGGCCGCGCCGCCGCCGGGCGGCCTCCGGCGCCGGCGCATCCGTGACCGCTTCCTCGCCGGTAGTTGAAGACCGCAGTTAGCCACGCTGTAACTTGTGGTGGTAGCTCGCGACTGCAGTCGCAGGCTGGGGGGGCAGCCATGTCAGGGCGCGGCAAATCAAAAAATTGCTTGTAGGCTCTGACTGGCCGTCGGATGCTGTGGCCTCCCCTGGGCCAGGCGGTCCCTGCAGCACAGCTCAGCCGGCTGCTGCTGCACTGCTGCGGGATGGAAGCGGTGAAATTTCCGGCGGGTGCCAGCGCCGCTCGCTCCCAGGACGCGGCTAACACGAACATTGGAAGCACTGCTGCGGCCGTGCCGCCGCGGCGGCGTGCTGCAGATCGCGGGCGGGCGGCAGGACAGGCAGGGGCCGCGTGCGGGGCGCGTGCGGGGCGCGCCGGGGCGGCTGAGAGGCCGGCGCCGGCGGGCGCCCAGCTACTGGCTAGCGTCGGGGCCGCGCAGCCGCGCGGGGCGAGCGTGATTATCGATATTGCCGAGGCTGCCCCTGACTTGGTTTCATCAAATGTGGTGTGCTGTGCAATTGGGACCAGCCAAACGCCCCAGAAGACCTTCTGCCCTGGCGGGCCATGCGCGCCGCCGGCCGGCAGGCAGGGCCGTTGGCCACCTCAGCGCCGCGGCAGCTGGCGGGCCACCTGCCGTCCTGCCGCCGCCTTGCACTGGAACATCTAAGAGCAGCAACAGGGCTGCGGCAGCGCGTCGCGTTGCATCCTTTTTGGGGGGCGGCGTCGATAGGTCAAGGGGGTAGCGATGCACTGAGGCCGCAGCCAGGCGCACGCGCCATATCTGGCGTCACTCGCGTATCCTGCACACGCGCGCCACAAAACCCGCCAGCGCCTCCGGAACAGGGCACCAGTCGCAAGGAGCAACACATCACACTCTGCATCATACTTCATTGGCTGGCAGCAGCCGGATTCAAGACTGTTGGCGGGACCGACCTTCTCCGGTGTCATGACTCACAGGGCGGAGGGCGGGTGACGGATGTGACTCCCTTACCTCTATCAGCGCTGTGCTACATTGCTCAGCGTGATAGACTCAAAGGTGTGATTATTTACTTTTAGATCCACCAGGGCGCCTAGTAATAACAATGGGCTCGCCGACCAGGGCCGCCGTGTTGTTGGTGGCGATCCTGCTGTGCGCGACTGGTGAGTTGTTGAAATTACAGGCAATACAAGCTACAGCATGCGCTGAAGCTCAGCTGCCGCACGCCCGGGCGTGGCAGACTGGGTGGCCCGCGGCCACTGACAAACGAAGCCACCATCCGTGGTCCTGTCCGACTCGTGGCATGCATCTCGGCCTCATCCCAGCGGGAAACTCAGTGATTTCGAATAACTGTGCCATTGTCGCCAGCACCGTCACCCCCCACCACCGCCGTCTACCCGTCCTCGGCCTTCGCTGCGGTTTTTGACATGCAGCATGGCACGCTGTGGCCAAAGACGGCCAGGATGACACCGTCTCTGGCGGCGGCGGCACAAATGGTACCATCGCCACTGGCGGCAAGAACACTACGGACGACAAAGGCACCACCGGCAAGAATGAGACCGTCGGCGGCGGCACCAACGCGACAGACGACAAAGGCACCGGCGGCGGCGGCAAGGACGACCCTACCACTACCGGCAAGAACGGCACGGACGACAAAGGCACTGGCGGCGGCGGCAAGGACGACTCCGGCGGTGCCTTCGATGACAAGGGCGGCGGCAAGGACGACGGCAGCTTCAGCGGCGGCGGTCGCGACGACGGCAACGGCTGCGAGAAGGGCGGGGTGGATTGCAACCGCGGCGTCACCTTTGTCGACGTCTCGGCGTGCGGTCAGCTGCTGGCCAAGCTCCAGATCGCACAGACTGGCGCCGCGACCACGGTGGTGAGCGCCCCCTGGCCAGCGCGCCGCCGCGCCCGCCCCAGCCCCTTGCGCCAGCCGCGGCGGCGCCTTGCGGCGCGAGAGAACGGCCAGGCGCTCTGTATCTGCTGCGGCGCCGGCGGCGCCCCCACCCTTGAATGGTGCCGTGTGGCCCTGGGCCGATCGCCCTGCCTGCCAAAGGGGGGTGCCGCCTTGACGGGTGCCACGTCAGCGCGAATGGAAGGAGCAAATCGGCCCATCAGCCTCCCCCCCCCCCCCCACGCCGCCCGTCGGGCCTCTCGTCTGAGCCAATGCCCTGACCTCAACAGCCATTCCTCCTCCCTGCAAAACACCTCTCCATGCACGCACGCCCCAGTTCTGCCCCCTCAACACCGGCCTGACGAAGCTGGCCAGGCACTTCAACTTTGCCAGCGTCGACGCCCTCATTGCCGGCCTCGACTCATACCCCAACAAGGCCGAGGTCGCGCGGGTGAGGCGCCCGGCGCGGCGCGGCCCCTGCACGCCCCCAAGCGTCCGGCGGCGCGGGCGCCGCCGCACAAAGCGGGGCCGCCTCGCCCGCCGCACCCTCGACGGTCCACGCGCGTGCGCCGGGGGGATTGCTCCTCCAACGTGATGTGGCTATTGTGGGCGCGGCTGCGCCCGGCGGCTTGACCGCTCTGTCTGAACCGCCCAATCACCCCTCGCGCCCCCTTCGTCTTCAGCTCCTCAATCATGCCTGGCCCCCTCTCCACCTACCTGCACCGCACGTTTGACCCTGCCCCCCTCAGGTCATGCAGTTCCACGTGGTCGACCCCCGCAAGGTGTACACCAAGGCCGGCTTCGTGGCCGCCACCGGCGGCCTCTCCCTCACCACGCTGCTGACCGCGTCCGACGCCACCAAAAAGCTCACAGTCACCCAGCAGACGACCAGCAAGGGCAAGCTCAGGATCAAGGTCGCCGGCGCCGGGCGGGACGAGGACGTGCTCTCTTTCGACCTGACGTTTGGGGGCATCTACGCGGGCGCGACCACCGGCTTCATCGTGCACGCGATCGAGGAGAGCCTGCTGCGCCCCAACTGCACCGGCTGCGGCGGCGGCGGCAACGGCAGCGGCAACAGCAGCAGCAGCAGCGGAATCGAGGACAAGCCGGACGGGGAGTATGACAAGCCCAGCGGCAAGCCGGTGACAGCCGCTGATGTGGCGGACTGCAAGAGGCTGCTGGAGGCCGCCAGCATCTCTTACGAGGGGTCCACTGTGGTGGGTGCCGCCTGGGTGTGTCGGCACGGCTTGTTATCGGGTCGTCCCCTGGATCCCAACGAGGGGCGGCTGCGACCCTGCAGCCGTTTGCTGTGCAGCGCCAGCGCAAACAGCGACAACAGGGACAGGCGTGCGGCCTCGTCGTCCGAGTGCAGCGTTTCCTCGGCTCTTGTCCACGCCACCGCTAACCCTCGCCTGCCGCCCGCGGTCGCTGCCCCTGTGCGAAACTATCTGCGGTCCGCAGTTCTGCCCCACGAACAAGGTCATCGCGCACCTGGCAAAGGCCGTCGGCCTTAAGACGACCCAGGCCCTGCTGGATGATATGGCCAAGGGCCCCGCCAGCTTCTACCTGAAATGGGTGGCAAAGGTGCGCGCCCGTGGCGGGCGGCGCGGGCCGAACAGCGGCAGCGGCGCGTCAGTGGGGGCCGGCTCGCCGCCCTGCTGCATGTGCACGCGCCGTGCGGGCGCACAGCTGCAGCTCCGAGGGAATCGCGGATGCACGTGCGCCTTTGATTGCGGCCGCGGCGGCGCAGCAGCTGCCCTTGCCCTATTGGTAGCCGCCTGGACCTGAGCAATGCGACGCTCATGTTCTAAATCCAATCCCATGAGCATGGATGGCCGCAGACGCGGGGGCCATTCATGCGGGTCAAGGTACCCACCCAGCCTTCAAGCCATCATCGCTGCACGCATCAGTGGATGCGTCCGGCGGCAAACCTGAAACCTCACCCTCTGAACTCACATCAAATCGCAGGTCCTGAGGTTCCACGTGGCCGTGGGCGTGTACCCTCAGTACTCGCTGCCCACGGGCACCATGGAGCCGCTCAACACGCTGCAGACGCCGGACGACCCCTCGGCCGTCATCAAGCTGTTCAAGGGCAAGAGCATCCTCTTCCCCTTCAAGCTCGTCGTCTACGTCAAAAACCCCGTGGCCAGCGAGCAGGCCAAGGTGACGCGCTTCAACCTCACATTCGCCGGCGATTACGACGGCAGCACCAGCTACGTCGTGCACGCGCTCAACACGCCGCTGCTGCTGCCGCCGGGCACGTTCTCCACGTTTGACAAGTTTTTGTTCAGCCTGAGGACGACCACGTTCTACAGCGCGCGCTACTTCCGGCCATTCATCAAGAAGGCCCTCAAGGGCAACACCGCCGCCACGGTGCGCCCGGCGCAGGCGGGCGCCGGGCCGCGCCTGCGATGCGACCTAATTTCCTGGCGCCTTCTTTGTGCATCCCAAGCCGCAGCAGATTCTGTCCGCGCAGCACCTGCGAAGCCAATTCATCCCACCGCGGCAACCCCCTGTAGACGTAGCCCACCAGGCCCCCTTGCGAGCGGTTTACACCCTCCCTGGATGCGCCCCGTCCCTCCCCCGAATCACCGCCTATGCAGCTCTTCCTGCCGCTGGACTCGGCCTGGACGGCGCTGGGCGAAAGGATCCCCCTCCTGCCCTGGTCCCGCGACATCTTCATAGACTCGATCGAGTCTAGCAAGCAGCTCAGGGAGACGCTCGCCAAGGTGCGCCCGCCTGAATGGAAAATTGGCTGAACCTAGGTTGGCCATTGGTTGACCCCCGGTTGACCATCGGCTGAACCTAGGTTGGCCATTGGTTGACCCTAGGTTGACCTCTGGTTGACCGGCAGGCAGGCGGCCGGTGCCCCGCGCCTTTGCCGCCGTCCGCGCGCCACCCTCTCCCTGAGCAGCGACGTACGAGGCGGCCGGCGCGTGCGCCTCTGATCGGCCGGAAGCCTGCCGAACACCCGCGTCGTTCCCCTCTGCGCTCGCCACTCCTTGGCCCTCACCACTGCCGCCGTCTGCCACCCCCCTTCCCTCTCCGCAGTACCACTATGTCGAGGGCCCCGTCACCAGCGGCAAGGTCGTCACCCGCCTCGGGCAGCAGATCACCGTTGACTCGTGAGTGCCACGAGGAGGCCGCCCTCACCTGCCGCCGCCCGTTGACCAAATTGCGCATCGACCTGTTCCCCCCTCTTGCCATTGCATACAATTGAGCAACCCCTTTGTCGCCCCATGGCTGCCGTGCGTGTATAACAAACTGCCCTCACCTCTTTCGCTCCCTTGCGCCCGCCCCTCAGGCCCGCCGTCGGGAAGGTCACGGGAGCCCTGAACCCCCTCAACGTCGCCACCCTCAAGGCGACCTACACTGTCGGCTACCTGACCATTTTTGTGATCGACGGCTTCCCCCTCCTGCCTGTTATTCTCTGAGCAGGCGGCCGGGCAGCAACACGCCGGGCCCTTGAACGGGACCACCGGCCGTGAATAAAAATCTCGAACCCCCAATATTTCATACACCGGCGGCACCCCGGCCCCACGGCGGCGCTGGGGGCGCTGGCGCGAGTTTTGCGTGTTTTTTGTGCAGCGCATGAGCGCGCTTCGGGATGGGGCGCAGGTGCCCTCATATAATGGCGGTGGCTGGAGTCGACGCGAGGCAAAACAACGCCCGAAGTGGGCACGCGTCCTGTCCTATGCCAGGCATGGCTTCAAGTCTTGAACCTTTCTTTGGAACCCATCGCGCGTGTCATGGATTCCTCCAGGGTTGCTTTTTTTGCCCTGGGATGCAGGTACCATGACCTGCGCGCACTGCAGACGCGGGTGCAGCCCCAAAACCGGCACCCTTGCCGCGTGCGCTGGGCCTGTTTGCTGATACCGATCGACATTTCGCACCCTTGCCCCGCAGCGCGAGTCGCCCCTGCCTGCGTCGCCCCTTACTTGCGAGCATGGATGGATGCCACCTTGCGGCCTCCTGAATCGCAACATTTGATTACTGTGGGTTGATGGGGCGCCTCGCAAGCAGTCTGCACCGCACCCTGCTCAACCCTGCTTGAAAAGCATGCGCGTGCTTTGTCGAACTTGGGTCCGCCTTGAACATACACGAACACACTTTGAGAACAAGAACTTGGGCGTATGATGGCGGGCTGCCTCGGGAACAATGCGCTCTGTCACCTTGTTGAGTCTGGAGACCTGCGCGCCGAGTGATGTCACTAATGGTGCGACAAAGCAAGCAACTGTAATGGCCGGCTGTTGCGTCGCTGCACCTAACTGCAAACTTTTGCTAGCTGGCTCCTCACTCCGAAGCACATGTGCATAGTGGTTGGGTCAGGTGTGGCATCCCAGGAGGCAGCATCGACGCGTGCCTCGACTTGACCTTTGGGAAATACTGTACAGATAGATGTGACGATGAGTGAGGGCGCGAGGCGCAGCCCTGGCACTGAGCCATGACATCAGCCGCTTGTTGGCGGTGAGCTTGGCGGCGTTGTGTAGGCACGGATTGCGCGCTTGTGACATCACCGCCACCGCACCTATGTTGAGCTGAGGTGTGCGCACAAGACTGCAGTCAAAAGGGGTCAAGGCGTGTGGGGTGACCGCCTCCTGTTCGCACTTGGAAATTCTTTTCAGACCATCCATGTGCAATGGGATGCTGGTAGATACAACAGCGTGCGCACAAGGTGGGCAGAGTCTTACCCCAATTCACCAGCGCTGCAGCAAGCTGCCAGCCGTTTCCCATCCGGTGGCATGAGTCGATGCGTGTCGATGCAGGCTTGTCGCACATGCCGACCTACGTTCGGGCAACACGGCCTGCATTCTGGCAAACTGTGCATGAGCTGATGTTCGGTGGTATAGCTTTGCGGAACCATCGTGTCGTGCTGGCCAACAGATCACGGCAGCCTTCGTCCATGATCTCGCCTTGAAGATCGAGATACGTGTGTCGACGATTTGGACATCGTATAATCTCTAAGATTTTCTGTACCACGCGGAGGTAGAGGACCCAGTAGGCGGCAACATGGCTGGCCGCGGCAGGCATGCCACGCTGCCGGCCTGGATGACAGGTGAGGCTTGTTCAGGCCGTGCGTGATCTGTGGGGTGCTTCAGCAGTGAGACCTCTGCGCAGTTGGCCCACCGCCGCACAATGCGGCGACGCCGCTGCGCTGCTCATGGCCTCCTGCGCACCCCCATGCCCGGCCCCCACCCCCTCGCGCAGCCGGAGGTGGAGCAGCTGCGGCAGCCGCCGCGCCTTCCGCAGCCCCTGGCGCCGCCCCGGCGAGCGCGTCCCCTGCGGTGAGCATAGCACGGGCAGTTCACCCGAAATCCTCGTTGCCTCGACCGCCGCAGCTGCCAGCACATCGGATGCTGTATCATGCGGCCACCGGCCGGCTGCACTGCACTGCCCTAAGCACCCGCAGCATCCACACCCGCCCGCCCACCCGCCACGCGCTTGAACCGCTCGCATGCCCGCCGACACGCCGCAGGGCCCGCCCCGCGGCCCCGCGGCGCCCGGCAGCGGCGGCTATGGCGAGGCGGGGCGCGCGCCGCTCGGCGCGGGTTTTGCGGGCGCGCCCGGCGGCGGTGGCGGCGGCGGGATCGGCTAC